ATCCTGATACCTACCTACTCCATTGTATCTGGCACATTGGGCGTAACATTAAAAAGCAGCTTGCAAAGCTACTTGGTGATCGTTATGCAGATTTTATCAAAGCATTTTATCATTGCCGAAACGTTTTATATAAAGAAACATTTGAGAAATACTGGAAACAACTTATGATCGATTTTTCAGAATCAACTGAATACCTAATTAGACAGCTTGATCCATGTAAAACAACCTGGGCAAAAGTATTTACAGGTTGAGTTTTTACGGCAGGGATAATATCTACACAACGATCTGAATCAATAAACAGTGTAATAAATGGACTGTAAATGAAAGAACTCAACTTCACATCCTGTTTAACCGAATTGAATCATGTGTTGCAGAAGAACAATTTGCTGGTTGGTTTGTGGCTTGGCGTGAAAAGACAACATCATATATGACACCAAGTGTCCCTGGATGACTTTTTCCTAAAATATACAATATTTTGCAAAAGTATGTAATGCCCAAAATTTTATAGTTACATATTGATCAAATGAATGAGGTGGTGATGTATCATAGCAAAAAAGTTAATTTTGAGGATCCATATAATTTAACATTGGAGGTTGTTGATAATAGGCCGATTGAGTTTGAGTATGACCTTCGTCAGATATGTTTTGATGAACTTCTTAAGGAGATCGATCATTCCTTAGTTGCTGAGGTTTGGGAAGTTCAATCAATCGAGCATAAATCGAATATTGGACAGAATATAGTGCTACTAAAAAATAGATTTTATTTATGCACATGCATCTTATTATTCGATAGTAGAGTGATTTGCTGTCATTGGTTTTGTGTTCTTTTATGGTCTGAAAAGGCTTATTTTCACATTTCTCTCATTTCAAGATGTTGGTACAAAGACGAATTTATGGACGCAGTAGTTGTTGATGAGCCATTTCTTTGAAGAAATTCATTAGAAAAGAACAGTTCAACACCATCTTTACCTTCTTTTCCGGATGTTGCTGATTCGTGGAATATCATGCTTATTGAAGCTCCTGTACAAGCTGCAGCAAAAGCAATTGGCCGTAAACAATTGATTAAAGGAACATTGCTTGGGCTTGCCCGTAAATGTGTAGAAGTAGTTAATTACGATGATTTAAATGATTCAAAGATTTTGATGGAAACATTTAAGGAATGAATACGCATCCATGAGGAAGCACAATGCAGCAAACAAATTATAAAACAGGAACTAGATGATAACCAAATTGTAGAGAG